ATTTAACTTTACAATATTTTGGTTGGACATTTAATTGTCCCAGCTTGGGCAAATAGTTAATCCTCAAACAAAATACTATGAATATAAAAATATAATACTATGAATATAAAATATATAAAATATAATACTATGAATATAAAATATATAAAATATATTTTTATTTTTTTTTTTATTTGACCAGCAACAGATTTTTATATAAACAAAAAAAAAACAAAACAAAAAAAATTAACAAACAAATAGTTTTAAGCTCCACACTAAATCTATGAACAATTTTCTGTTTTTTTTTTTAAGGCATAAAATTTTAAATCTATATCCACCAGGTTATAAAAACTAATGCTTTGTTGGATTAAAAGTCTCACCTAAATAAATTAAATAAATAAATGAGAATAAAAATAATTATATGTCTATGATTAATAAAAAACATTATATTTATAAATACATTGAATACAAAGGGACAGAGAGAGAATGGAGAGATGGCGTCAGAGGATTGGCCATGTCTGCTGCTCGATATACCCTGCTTCAATTACAAGATGAACAAATTCATACCAAATACTGGAGGCTACAGTTGTATGTTTTCATGGTGCCAGATGTAAGTCCTCTCATCTAGAGAAAAACAACCACATTAAATTAAGCAATAAAGCATTAGTTTTTTTTAACCAGGAGTATGTAAGTTTAATCCCTATGCAAGGTACCAAATATTGTCCATAGAATAAAACTTAACCAATTTATAGTAAAATTAGAAATGATACATTTTTGTGCAACATGACCAACAATCCATTTTATCTGTATTTAAAGACATACAATTGCATTTTAAATATATTTATTTGAAACCATAAAATAATTTGAATTATTTACATTTCAACATTAAATAACCCATAGAGGTTGATATGCTTCTTAACAAAAGCAACCAAACCAATCAAAATATTTAGATTTCAGTTTTTAAAAAACCCATTAGGGTTGATATGCTTATAAACAAAATTCAACCAATCAGTTAACTTTTTTTTTTGAGTGTAAAGTTTTCTGATGCTTTCCTTTCAGCCCATGTATAAAAAAAATATCAGCCAACATTGCAGGCCTAGATTTTTGAGCAGACTGATGCTTTAAACTTCAGCCCATTATTTAAAAAATCAATTGTTAACTTGCAGGCCTGAGTGTAAAGCAGACTGATGCTTTCCTTTCAGCCCATGTATAATAAAAACACAGATTTCAACATTAACTAACCAAAGATTGATTTCTTTTTCTTGTAAATGATATTCATAAAGGTTTCATCCTCATAAAGCAGATCCTAAGTTTTCTACACCTTGTGAATTGTAAATTGAATGAGGCCTTTACCTTTAATGTCTGCTAGGCTCACTTCATATTTCATTAATATATATATATGTTGAATAAATATATAGAAAATAGGAAGGAACTGGTTAGGTAAATAATCCAAAGTTCCTTAGTATTTTAGTTATTACTTTTTAAAAAATAGTTATTGATAAAAAAGTAGAGCATAGATATAATTATTTATTTAAAAAATATGAATCCGAATTCAAATAAAATGATCCATCGCTAATGATATTAAAATGTCTTGTTCTTTAAAAGCTCAAAAAATTTATATAAATTGACACCTATATATGTGTATCTTTACATTAGGCCAGATCTCTTTGCAAAAATGGAGCTGCTACATTTGGGCAGGAGCTATCCAGCCTTGACAGATTTCAAAAGTGTTTCACAAGTCTTTAAATCGATAAATTGGCTTTGTCCTTCAACTCCCTTTGCATGCCAAAAAATGTTGCTAGCCTCTAGCTACTCTAGATTAAATTAAAAATTAAGAGTGCCAATTTGTATATACAATTCATTACTAAAGATGCTGGGGAAAATGGTTGGTTCCTTGTGTTGCTCCAGTTGAAATAATAGGTTCCTAAAAATGCCTCTATTTTTACAAGAGTGAAATTAGACCAAAAAAAGGAGAAGGAGCTAAGAATAATTTTCAAAAGGAAAAAACCTTGACAGACATCAAAATTCTTTGTGCAGCCTTTTCGTTGATGAACTGTTTTCCACTCAAAAACTCCTTCCCCACAGATGAAATGTTTTGCTAGATGTTTGCAGATATATCAAAAGTTTGTGTTTTTTTTTATGAAAGCTTTTCAACCTAAGAAAGGTATTAAAAATAAAAAAAGGGTTGTTCTTTTAGGAAGCAAAGTAAAGAGGCATCGATAAAGGAAAAAATGAACAGAAGGACAGGGAATGACATTAAAAGAATTCTTGGAGATTATAGCTAAAGGTTCTGTCTGTGTGGCGTATAGAGGTGTGGAGTTCCATGACAGGAAGTGCAAGACCTGAAGCTATTGAAGGAAAAGACGGCTACATTTAAACATTTCCAAAATGAAAAAATTATAAATAATTTGAGACACCAATCTAGTAATATGTTTAAATTCATGCAGCTTGGGGAACTAGCGAAAGTAGCTTGTTGGAGCAGTTACCGTGAAAGTATTTGTAGAAAAGACAGAGGGAAGCAATAGAATGTCTGTGAGAGAGTGACTATAAACAAGATGCCAGATCAGGGCCAGTCACATTGCATATCCATCTCTGGATTTTGTCAAAGACCTTAAGAGGAACAGTGGAGACTCCAGACTATATATGGCAGCAGTATTCTGTGCAAGGGCGAGTGGTTGATTTGTAGATTTGAAGGATGGACTTGGACAAGAAAAACTTTCTGGCGTGACACAGAACAAACTTTTGATGCAGTAGATGAAGCTATTGATTTAATGCATTTCTTCCATTTAAGGTTAATGGACAGTGTGAGACCAAGCAGTAGCAGAGAGGTGCTCTCGTGGAGTTGAGCATCAGACATTCTAATGAGAGGCAGGATGGGGGTTCTCTGTGGTGGGTAAAAGAGAGCAGTTCTGTTTTTGAGGCATCAAAGTTAACCAGCCATTTCCTGCTCCGATCAACAACTGATTGGAGTTCCTTTACTAGACCAACAGCCAGGTTAGTTTTGTCAGCAATACCGGATTTGCTATTGAGGCAGGAGTAAATAGTAATGTTGTCTGCATAGATGCCTACTTGAGAACTGATGACATCACGAAGATCGTTAATGAAGATAAGGAACAGTGTAAGGCCCAGAATATTTTTAGGGTAGATGTTCAGCAAACTATATTAAATGCTTCCACCAATCCAGACCTTCGCAGCTAGGATCCGCTATAACACATACACTAGTTGACTTATCTATATTTCATTCATACTAATGAATTATTTTTCACTCAACAACTCCTCTCCCACAAAAAAAAAACAACCTTGCATTACAATTACTCCACAGCTGAAACTGCCCAATTTTCTATTTCCAGCCTTGACAGAGTTCAAAATGTCCAAGAAATTTTCACAGGAAATATTCATCCTCCGGACACTCAGGCTGATAAATGTTGTTTAATACGGTTTATTATAAACAGAGCATTTACTTAAATATTTGTATCTATAAAAAGAATGTTAAACATAAAAATATCTTTATATATATATATATGAAAGAAAAATACAGAAAAAAACAAAATTCTGAATATGCATTATTAATGTAAAAATAAAGTCGACGTCGGACGTTTCGGTCTATTTAAGACCATCTTCATGGACATTTTCATTTAAACATAATTAACATTATAACTTATAACAATTTAACACAAAAGACAATGGACATAAGAGCCCAACTAATTCAGACAGATAACTGAAATTTTATACAGATCAGCGTTCTGTTTAAATATGATCAATTAGTCGTCACACGGGCGATGTTGTTAAGACGTATTCGAAGATGATTTCCAAAAATTAAAAAATATCAAAAAGTCGAATGAAAAATTTTTATAAACAATTAAAGAAATCTCTTCCGTTGATGTTGGAATACGTAGTGATCAATTGGTTCTTATATCTTCAACAAGCTTGATATATATATATATATATATATATATATATATATATATATATATATATATTAATTGTTGTTTAAAATTTGCTATAATTAGGATGGAGAGTGCTCAATATTAGGGTTTGGTTTGTTTTATGGCATATCAATCTCAATGGGTTATTTAATGCTGACAAGATTTTTATTGCTGGTAATATTTTGTTTTTATAAAAATGTATTGCTGGTATTAAAACCTCTTTTTCCACTTTCATAGTGTTTTCACCCTACTTTTGGTGCTGGTTAACTATTTGCCCATATCTGTGACCCTAACTGGTGCTACCATCCCAGATTAGGGTGGACCTGGGACCACCAGCAATTAAGAGGTGGTTCCACACTCAAAACCTCCTGATCAGAGGCCTTCTTGCTACATGTAGTTTATCGTCTTTCCAAAGATGCACTCAATATTAGGCTACGAGCATTTGTGGATATAAACAGTACAGACATAAAAATCAACACTGCATGGTGACTGGCAGCCACAATGCAGTGTTAATTTCTTCTTTGGTGTTATGGCATGATGACCCATGTTGGGTGATTTGATATTGAAATTTGTATGGGGCACATTGTGAGGATGGAACTCAGTACTAGTACTTTATTATCACTGACAACTGTCCACATTGAGGTGCCTACATTTTTTCTTTTAATTATCAAGGAAGGTTATTAATAATATTAAATGTTTAAACTTGTCCTTTTTTATATTTAACTGGTTTGCTTTAGAATCCAGATATTCCCCTCTCAGAAGTTACACCACCCACCAAACATGTACCATTGTTTTTCCCCCTAACAAACTCAATCCTAAAGATGAAACATTGAAAGCCTCTTGCTACTCTACCATTATTTCTATGAATAATGTTCAAATAAGCTTAATTTCCCCCAACCCCTTCAAGCTAAGACCTGCCCCACCGTGTACACTGAGGCAAAATATCCATATTCCATTTGTAAAGAGTAAGTTCTACTCAGATAGTTTTTTCCCAAGAACTCTTTCTTGGTGGTGCAGAATCCCAGGAGGATGCTTTTCCAACCATTACAGGGTGGTGCAGAATCCCAGGAGGATGCTTTTCCAACCACTACAGGCTTGCAGCCATATCATGTTAAAACAACAGTTCTCATACAATCACCAAGGTTAAGTAACATTGAGCTTGGTCAGTACCTAGATGGGTGACCCCTTTGGACTACTAGGTGCTGTAGACTTTTCTGCATGGGTGCAATCATGTATCTTTTCTGATACATGACTGACAAAAAGGATTCAGATTTTTTTCCTGCAGTAGGTTGCCATTTCTTTCTGCAGTAGACCAGTTGCCATCCAAGGCTATAGAACCTGGTCTGTCCTGCTATTTACCCATAGCTGGGGGAGAAGAAGAGGATTCATACCTTTCCCAAAGGGTATTAGCATGTAAGTGAATGTAATGGATTCAACTGAATTCAAACTCAATTTCTCCGATTCCTCAATCCGAGCCATACCATCCATTACTCCACCATCTATCCTCCTATTTACCCAAAAGGGAATTTCTAAAAAAAAATTTTAATAAATGAAAAAATGAATTTATAATCTTCAAATCAGCAACAGTAAAAATCATTAAACAGAAAAAATAGATAATTCAGTTTCCTGTATTAAATACATATTTTAGTATCATCATTTAATATTTTTTGTTATATTTTTATTTTTTTTTTTTTAATGGTTTTCATTTTAAAATTTTTTTATTGACATCATAGAACTTTTTTAATTACCATAAAAAGGCCAATTAACACAAGGATATTACCTTTCATAGGTATTCAAGGGACATGGTATATAATGAAATGAATCTAGAAGATTCAATTACTTTTTTAATTAAAATTATAATTATTAATCTTTAGTTTAAATTAAACAGGTGCTCAAAAAAAAAAAAATTAATAATGGGATGAATTTTTTTTTAAAGTATGTGCTTCAAAAACATGTGTATTACATAAAGAGTGTGAAATCAAAACAGATTTTTTAAATATCTGAAAAAGATAAAATATTCATATTTGATTTGATTAATAAGAAAATAAATGAATTATAAAGAAAATTGCAAAAATTTAAGAAAACTTATAAATTTTAAAAACAGAAAACAATTCATTTTGAAATTAGAATTGTGCTTCATGAATACTTGTGAAACAATTTGGTTTTGTCCAATTTGATGGCATTAACCCATAAGTAAAGTTCCAATTTTGGACACATATTTTGAATCAATTTTCTAGAAATTTATTGCTCTTTAATTGAAAATGGAAGTTGAAATTGAACATTCTCTTTTTTCCAAAACACTATTAATTATACAATTTTTAAATATTTCAGGCAATATATTGGATTATATAATTAATTGACTGGCAACATGAAACAAAAATTTTTTTAAAAAATTTTTCTGACAAATCGCATAAAGGGGTATAAAAATTAAATTTTAAAATTTATCAACACAATTAAATGTTTATTTTTTTTTAGAGTCATCAGATGCTATAATACACTAACATTAAATAAAAATAAAAAATATTTATATATATATATATATATATATGCCTATGCCTCTGGTTTGAAAATAAATATATATATACTATAATATATTTATATATATATATGATATCACATTTATTTTATATATATATATATAAATTCCTAAATTTATATTATATATATATATTTAGATAACTATATATATATAGGACATTTTCATTTTATATATTATATATGTTTTCAATTTTATAACCAAAAATTTTATATATATTTTCATATAAATATCATATTTTTCAACCCTTGCACACGCTCTATCTTTCAATGATATTGAAAAAAGAGATTTCAACAAAAAAATTCTACACCAAAGATGAACTATAAATGTTCATATATTTCTTATTTCACAACTTTAAACAATATATACCAAATTTTGAACTAAATTATTAATATATTTTTTTTTCAATGTTGTTTATCTTGATGTTGAAATGGGTATTTTTAATTTAATAAATTAGGCAAAAATTTTTTTTTTTAAATGTGCTTTAATTGAATAAATATTTAATTTAAAATTGGATCTGTAAATGTATTTATATAATAAATTAGTTATACATTGTTGATCAATAAAAAGATTTTTGTGAAATGAAAATTTTTATTTTGACTGCAGATTCAACTCAAACTTCAAGCATGGCAATTTCATTTCAGATGGTAAAAATTTGTTTAAAAACAAAAAAAAAAAAAAAATAAAAAAACTATTAATAAAATTGTTTTTTCCAGTCATTTTAAGATATGAAAGTTTTTATAAAAAATTTTTCAGTGATTCATTTCCAAAAATATAATTCATAATAAAAATGAAAAAAAGATTTTGTATATGTTATTTTAAAATTATATGATTAACTGTTAACCTAAAAAATGGAATTTGTTCTTAAAATGTTGTCAAATGAAACTTTCAAATATATATTTTACAAATTTCAAATTTTTTTTTTTTTTTAAATAAATTTTTTAAAGCCATTATATATGTAAAAAAAGGAAAAAAAAATCTGTCTGTAATTTTTAAATAGTTATTATGTGAAAATTTATTTCTCTATTAGATCATGTTATTTTCAAAACCAAAATTATGTGAAAAATAATACATTCCCAAATGTCTAGATAAATTTGAAAAAAAAAAAAAAAAAAATCAAATCTATTTAAAAATAAATAAATTTTTAAAAAGAGAATACCCCCTAAAATTTAGGAACACCCTTTAAATAAACTATAATTTTTTTAAAACTTTTTCAGAAATGGTTAAAAATATTAATTTGAGTGATGCAAGCATGTTGGTTTCAAAAAAAACCATTGTTTTAATTTAAAAAAAAAATTTTAAAACTACAGTTTATTGATTCACACACACCATAATCACACACACACACATTTTTTATCTATCAAAAATCCTGGTAATTAAAGGCAACAAAATTTATTTAAATATCCATCTTTTTCTAATAAACAGTATTTCATAATAAAAAAGACATATTTTTTTTGTTTTGCTACCAAAAAATTGGCCTAAAATCAGAGACACTGAATTCCAGAAATTGAACCTCTCCATTTTTTAACCATCAAATATTTTTTAAAAATTTTATAATGTATTTTAGCTATTTATTTATCTTTAATTTTTTAAAATGATTTTCCCTGAACTTAAATAAAAATTTCAAAAATTTTTGCTCAAATGTTCAAATGTACCAATTTAATAAAAATCTTAAAAAAAAATAAATTAATCAAATATATTCACTAAAAAACAAGATAAAATAAATTAAAAAAATATTTTTTTCAATTTGAAATTTTTATCCCGTTTTAAAATTGACGATTTAAATGGTTTGTTTTATGAAAAGTTTTAAAAATCCTTAAGATTCAATAATAAAGTTGGAAAATTATTTTTCTTTAATTTCAAAAATCATACTAAAATTTGAATACAAAAGTTTAATAAAAAAAAAAAAAAAAAAATTAAAATTTCCTTTTATTTGTATAAAATCCAATAATTTTTAAACAAAAAAAATTTTTTTTAATGTTTGACTTTCATTTTAAAATATGATGTCTAAAACACACATTTACACATATATATTTATTATATATAAAACAAGATTTTTTTTTATTAATTTTGAATGTTCTAAAAGGTATTAAAAATTATTTTTTTTTAATCTAAAAATTTAAATTTCTTTTTTTTAATAAAAACAAAATTAGTAAACAACAAATGGGTGAAAAAAAAAAAAAATTTTATTTTTATTAATTTATATGAATGATGGATTTCATGAAAAGGGCTAAACATTTTCAAATCAAAAGAAGGAACCTCTTTTATTTACCATTATGAATAGGATGATAATTTTAAATATAAAATAATTTTTTTTTAATTTTTTTTTTTTTTTTTATTTGAAACTTTATCCAATTTTTTTAATCTATAAAATTTATTTACAAAAAAAACTGCCTTCCATTCAATTTTTTTTGCAGACCAGTTTAAAAATCAGTTTTTTTCTTTTTTTTTTTTTTTTTATCATGTGTTCAAGAACTTTAAATTTTTCCATATATTTAAATTCAAAATAAAAAAAAGAATTTATCAATAAAAAAAAAAATTCATAATATTTGATAAAATTTACTTTATATGAAATTTGTATTTTTTTATTTGATTGTTGAATTCATCAAGCTTGAAATTATATCTTATATATTATTAATTTTTTTAATGTTCTTTTTTTTTTTAAATATTTTTTTTTATTTCAAAATTCTTTATTGTTTAATGAATTTTTTATATATAAAATAATAATATATCATATTAAATCAAGTAGTCAGATTTTTTTTTCAAAAATTGACCATTTTTTAAATCAAAAATTCAAATAGAATAGATCTTTCATAATTCAAAAAAATCTTTTTCCATTGAATAAAATATTTTTTTTTGATAAAAACCTCATATATATCCCAGGTTTTCTCCCCACCCCATATTTTTTTAAAAAACCTGTTACAAAAAAAAAAATGCCCTGTGGAATATAAACAACTCAAAATTAAAAGTTTAATTGCTTTAATATTTAATGAAAATAAAATAAAAAAAGCAGAAATTATGAAAATATTGTTTTATTTTATTTTTTTAATGAAAAAATTTCATGATAACAACTTCTTTTGAATATTGGGGCTGAAAATAAAACATCAAGAATGTTTTCTCAGACAATTAATATAAAATATGAATCATCTCCTGTACTTCATTGTGTTTTTCAAAAAATTTAAAAAAGAAAAAAAAAAAACTCAATAAGTCAGAAACATATTTTTCAGATAGGTTTGTTTTCAAAGTTTCCAGTACAGCATCTTTAGAAAGAGTTGATGAGAATCTATCTTATATTTTATAAATTTGTCTATTTCAGCCATGGTTGAATATTGCAAAATTCCGATATCTGGTCAGTGCTTCTAATTATGATTTAATTGTTCTTGATTAAAAAAGAATCTGAAATTGTTGGTGAAATTTCCTGACAACACAGAGGCTTCAATTTTTTCCTTGATTTGCCTTTCTCTAAAATATTTTCAAGAATAGTTCTGGATGAAACTTCCTCTTTGGTAACAGGAACTTTACAAAATTAAATTTTTATCCTCACCATTTTACAGTTGAAATGGCTGTCAAAAAATTTCTTTCCTTTTTTAAATTTTTAATGACTTCCTAATTCTCACAGACTGCAACCCCTTGAAAAAATTATGTGAACTTTGATCTTTTTTAAATGATTTT